GAAAATAAATAACATTGCAAAATCTCTCATTTTTTCCCTATTAGCAGATGACAGCAGTCAACTTCTCCATGTCACAGAGGAAGTGGGCACCTATGACTCAGCAGAGATGACCCATTGCAAGGGAACTACTGGTGCTAAAATCTTAGTCTCTTCAAACTAAATCCACATGCTGCCTTTCCTTGGAAAACAATTTTACTCTGTGATAGGTAGTTTTTATACTTTTATATTCAAACAAACACGTATTATGGCCTAGACTACAAAATGCATGAGAATTCTTGTGACAAAGCATAAAACTTAAGGCAACTTTCTGCTTGCCACCAACTGCTCTAGGGCTCATTTATATGTTTATAAGCTTCAGTTGTTTTTAGTAGTTCTGAGGAGAAGCTGGCCTAGCACTATTTAACGCTAACCCATCATTTGCCCTCAGCAAAAGCCGCCAATAAAGCCCTAGGAAGGTTCTTACCCTTTGAAGTATAGTTTCATCTTCGTAGTCTCCCATGTCATTCTTCTAGGATGCCCTCAAGTCAGGTTTATTTTAACTTAGCCTTCAGTTGTGTTTTGTGCCGCAGGCAGCTTCTGAAATAGCTCCCAATGGTCCCTGCCTCTCGGTTTGCACACCTGTGTGTAATCCTCCCCTGGAACAGGGGCTGCGTCTAGCAACTTGCTTCTAACAATTCAAACACGGCAAACGGGGATGGCGTGTCCTTCCAAGATCAGGTTGCAAAAGACTCTGACTCTATCACAATCTCATCCTCTCTCTGGCCTTCTCACTTGCTCACTCTGATGAGCTCCGAAGCCACCCACTGTGGAGTTCCCTATGGAGAGACTCATTCGCCTGGCAAGGCGAAAACAGCCTCCAGCCAATAGCCACTGACAAACCGAGACCCTCAGAGCAGCGGCTCACCATGAACTGGATCTTGCCAACGACCACGTGGAAGTGGATCTCTCCCCAGTGGAGTTTCAAAATGCAAGCAGCCCAGATGACACCTTGATTAGAGTCTATGACAGACCCCGACCCAGAGGACCAGCTAAGTTGTGCCTGAGTCCTGACCCACAGGAACTGAGAGATCAAAAATGTTGTTTTTAAGGCTCTACATTTTGGAGTCATTTGTTGGGCAGCAATAGATAACAAATACATTTTCTTTCGTTATGTTACAAATTGGTAAAATTGTCTTCACCTTAAATAAAAGAGGAAAAACATCTGTATCTTGCCAGTGCTCCAGAGAATGCAGCAGGTCCTCAGGAACAAACGTTCACATCCATTGTCTTTCTACAAGGCACACTGTGAAATTCAGTTTTTGACATACTTGGTCCAATTACCTCCCACTTCTGTAATTACAGGAAGCCAACAAAACTGGATGTTTAAGTGCCTCCATTCTAAGAGCTGCTACTATCCACTTGAATTCTCTAATCTCTCTACTTTTGCCTTTAAAAATTCAATGAACATGCGACTGCTTGTCAAACCTGACATCCTCCCCCACGGCGAGGAAGGCTCTGAACTCGATAAAGATTTTTTTATGTCTTTCTTTTTCCTATTCGACTTTCTAGCCTTCTGATACTTACTCTTCCTGTCATTGCCTATATCTACAGTGTGGACTAATAAATAGCGTTTGCATTATACTTCTGCTTTTCTGTTAGGGTTTCCAAATTTAGGCTGTATCTGGGTGAGGCAGGACAGTAAGAAGTTAGGAAAATTTGTTGGCATGTGGAATGGGGAAACTGGGATAGACAGCTGATTCAAACTGTCCCCCTCCAGCACCCCAACTCCCCTGCCTCCTTCTTCCTTGTACAACCACCCCCTTAAGCGTTGAGCCCTCAGGGCAACGAGGTTCTGATCAGCATCATATAATCTTAGGAACAAAGCCTCTGGTCTATTGACTGCAGAGCCAGTTTTGGTCAAACTAGAGATAATATCTAAGCCTCAGTTGTGTTTCAGCTCCAGGCCTAGAAAAGCAGCAAAACCAGACAGAGCAGCGATGTCATTGCTGACATCAGGGCCAGATGCAATGACCAATTAGTAGAGACCACGACCCTAAAAGGACTCACCTGGAAAGTTGATGAATATTCTATTGAGATCCTCCCCTGATACCTCCCCTAAGAAAACAAATTAAAAACCCTTCAGACAAAGGACCCAATGTGCACTCTCTAGAGCATGCCCACGCCTTTTCAGGTGTGTATCTTTGCTTTCTTTCTCCTAAGCTCTAAGGGCCGTTCTTTTGCCTTTGTAAGTTGTTTCCTGAGTTCACCCATCCCAGCTGGCTCACTCCTTCTGCCTCTGTGACTCTCTCTCTAAAAGGCCAAGGCAGCTCTCTGAGCAAAGGTGGAACAGGGGGGTTATTCTGGAATGACAGCACCTCTTTAAAAGGTAACAGTCATAGTTTTTCTTTTTCTTTATTGAAAACATATGACTTTTACACTGTCATCAAAGTAGCAGAACTGTGACATGTTTCGTGACTTCTGTAGCTCATTTTCTGTATTGTCACATTTCCTATTCATTCATTCATTTCTTTTATTATTTACTCAGCAATACTTTTGAGAGCCCAGCTGTTGTGGTCATTAGAGAATCAATGGGAAATAAGGCAACCATGGAAATACCTTGTTTTAGGGAAAGATGGACAGCAAAAAGGGTGAACAAAAAAATTAAGATAAAAATTTGCGATCATGATACTATCTTAAAGAAAATAAGACAGGATGATGCAATAAAGAATGACTTTTTGGAGGAAGGGGGAAGAGAACCTATTATGTTCAGTCATGTTTCTGCTACTTTCTTTTCCCGTCAGTTAGACACTATTTTGGAACAGTGAGGTGGGGCATCTAACCCGACTCCAGTTTGTTTTCTTCCCGGGCATAAACACTGGCTTAGTCTATTCACTCCAACTTCTGCCTCCCCTAACAGTGTTATTGCTGGTAAGTCATATCCCTGAGATACTGTGAGCTTCCCTGTACATCCTCTATACTCAGGGGACAGGGCTGGTCCTCCAGTGATGAATACACATTTCTCTTACATGACTAACTCCCCTAATTTGTTTTGGGCTATCCTCATTTTTCCCTTTCAAAAAATAAAACCCCAAACAAACAAGCCACGTGAGAGTAAAGGCTACCAGGCCACACTCAGTGCTGGGAACACCAGGCCTTCCCCTAAGCAACTGCAATGGTCGGAGCGTTCGTCAACAGCGAGATGAGCAGGAGGCATGAAATGGCAAGAGTAGGGGGCTGGAAGTCAGAAGACCTGTGTTGTGCCCCAGCTCTGCCATTAACCAAATGTGCAATCTCAAATAAACCCCTTCCTCTCTGCTTCCTGGCCCATAATAAGTACATAATGTATGGTGTTGAATGAATGGAACATAGGATCTTAAGCTTTCACTTTCGGCATCAGCTAGAGTATAGATTAAGGGCCTATAATAAAAAGACCCCAAAATACAGTGGCTCACACAACAAAGGGGTTTGTGTCTCTCTGATGTAACAGAATAGCGGTAAGCAGGGGCGGCTGACAGCTCTGCTCTACGGGGCTCTCCTGGAGCCAGCTTGCTTCCACTTTCTTCCTCTAGATCCCCCTGGGGTGATGCTGCATGGTTGATTCTGGTTCATCAAAATCACATCCGAGCACCAGCTAAAGAAAAGAAGAAAAAAGAGAGAGAGAAAGAGTAGAAAGCAAGCAATTTCCTTTTAGGGGAGTGACGTGGAATTTGCACACTTCTGCTCCTACTCCATTAGCAAGACTCTGACCACATGGCCACTGAGCTTCAGGGCAGGCTGGGAAGTGTGGCCTCTAGCTGAGCGGCCAGGTTCCCCGAGAGCCCCCGTGGGTGGGGGCAGAGGGAGCCTCTTACTGAAATGGCAAAGGAGGGGCAGACACGCTTGGACACGCAGCATTCTCGGCCATACCTATGACAAGGTTCCATACTTGAGTCCGTGATTCTAATAAGGAATGAATTTCATCGACCCTCTTATTTGGGTCTTTTCCCTCAGAATTCTTCATTGATTCCAGCTTTAAACCTATGATTGGCCTAAGTCTAATGACTTTGGACATATGTATTTTAATATGGGGGTCCATGGCTCCCACACACCCTCAGGAGACTCTTAACATTTTTTATGAGGATTTTTTTAATTGGGGGTTTTCCTTTTGATCATAGTTTTACAAGTGAATTTTACCATCTTCTGCATCATTCTAATGACTCCACGTGATGAAATCACACCACGGGATCCCAGTGGCCTTGTTTGTTCCCGTGGCACAATGTAGACTAACCACAGAAATGTTAGGTTTACCCCAAATTAAGGCTAAATAAGTTAACAGTGTACGGTACAAAGGAGGTCTCTGTCGCATTCTGAACAGAGAGGAACGGCGAAGGCTTAAGTCACCACAGGGCACCCCGTAGGTAAGCATGCCAACCTTAGAAAGAACTAATGAGGCAGCAGTCAGTATGTTCTCACCTGAGAAGTAATTTAGTTTCAGCCAAGCGACATCATCCTCTCCTTTGAATTAATGTTGTTAAATTGAATCACATCAGCGCTGTAGTTTTATTTGTATTTAACTTCTAGGGAATTAAATTGAATCGTAGTGAACTGGATTTAACTTGCTTGAATTTAACTTGGCTTTGATTTTATACATGTATCAGAGCTATAACGAAAAGCCTGAAAGTAGCATTGTAATCAAATAATTGTAGTAAACACTGGGAGGAAAGTAGAGATCGGTTCTCTTCTCTTTCACAGGGGCCCATGTATCACTAAGGTTTAAAGAGCAGAGTCACCGCGAATAGTTCTAAAGCTTGTAAGTGATCCTTCCTTAGAGTGATCCTCTCCGAGACTATGATTCTAGCAGATCCCAAAACATTGCTGCCCCAGTCACACTGACTTCAGGTCTTGGCCTAGCTCACCTCTCATCCTCGGTGCCTGCTCTTTTGTAGCCAACTTTAGAAGCATAAACAAGGACATCTCTAATGCTGGCAGCGTTTCATGAGACAAAGTAATTTTCCCCAAGAGGCCGGTAGGTTTCTCTCTGACTGCTGCTGAGTTCCTGCTGGGTGGCTCATTTCTGCTGCCTAAAAAGACAAGGAAGTGAAAAGTTCCTTTCCTTACCTCCTGTGTGACCCATGACTGTGGTTACGAGGGTAACTAGATGACAAGGGCAATAAACATTCCACCTCCCCGAGGCAATGGAGTTGAAAATGACATATATCGGGGCTGCGTAGTGGCGCATACATCAGTCTGTCTGGTGCTTGGAGATCCTCTGGGGTGAGAGGGGCTACAGAACTGTAAGTTACGGAGACGCTTAATCAACTATTCTCACACCGACTGGTGTCCTGTCCGTGATTTACTGGCACCTCTGTTTACCTACAGGATAATGGTCCTGGTGGACCAGAGTATGAGGAAATAAATGACTGGGTGAGTGATTCATTGTCCTGGCGCAGTACCGGGTCCAGCACCAAGATCGTTATTTCTATTGTATGACAAGAAAGGAAGAAGGAACAGCGGGGCCATGTGCATAAATTACAGGGGAAAGATTTCCAGGCTGCTCGAGAAACTCCTGCCGTCCCAGGCTTTGCAGGCTACCTGAAGGGGCCTACCACAGTCCAAGTGCTCATCTCTTTCCTGAGCCTTCAGAACTGGTCTTTGCTAAATCATTTGGTGAGGAGCTAGGGAGGCTTTGGGGACACCTCCCATTCCATTCACTGCCAAGAACAAGGTCCATTGCCACTTTGCCCACTGGAGCCTGACAACATGGGCCATCTCTAAGGAGGCAGCCCTGGGCGCTGAGGATAAGAGGCGGCAGGGAAGGGTGTCAATTTGGATTGAATAAAAACTATGGAAAGGACAATGCCATGTGGAGAAAAGCTCAGGGCATCTGCTTTTTGGCATTTTAATTAAGAAAATTGAGCATTTATCCCAGTTGTTCTAAATCCCTCTACATATTACAAACTCTTCACTTGGGAGCCTTAAAAAAATACCTGTGCTCAGGTCTCACCCTTGGCAATTAAATCAGCAGCTCTGGGAGAGGTCTGGGCAGTCACACCCTTGTAAACCACTGATCTAATGGAAGTGGGATTCCTCAGTCTTAGAGGTAACTCTGTGGGAGCCTTAGGGCACTGGTTTCATTAGAAAGTCCCTCATCAGCCTAAAGAGAACACCAGGGAAGAGAAAAACACAAGCTGCTGGAGGGCTGTTCCAGCTCCAACATCACCGCTTCCAACAGGGGGAAATAAATCACTGAAGGACGGTGCCTCGTTTTAACTCGTCTGGGTTTTAATAGCCCATCAGCTCGGGTTTAAATGCTTTTTGATAGCACTGAGCATTTGACCTTAAGCAAAGCACTTGGATTCAACCTTGACATTTACCATAATTAAACAAAGAAGATTTTGCTCATTAAATATTATTTTTGTTTCTTGGGCCATGAACTGAATGGGGAATGACATTCCATTTCAGGCAATGGAGTGGCATGACCCCCCTTTCCTGGCAGCTGTTAGCAGCGACAAGCCCCAGTGTGTCCTCAGCTCAGGGCAGGAGGGAGGCTGGCGTTTCCCACGGGCTCTCTTTGCTACTGTCAGCTACTGAGAAATGTCACAGAGGCCAGCATCCTCCACAGGGCAGATGGGGAGAGGGCCAGGGAGAGGGAGGCAGCTCCATCCCATTCTCACTGATACGGTGATCGTTAGCGCCCCGGAATCCTCACTCACTGAGATGGGGGAGTAGGTCATTTTTGGCAATATCTGCCAAGTTCACACTGAAACCTCAGCTCCCTCCTCACCCACAGCAGTGGGCCTCTGGCAGCCTCTGTGTAAATTAGCATGACCTCAGTCCTCTGCTGTGACTGATTGGACCTGAGGTGGGCAACTCGCCCAAATCGAGCTGATCCAGGATCCCCCAGGAATTGGAAATGGAACCAAGAAAAAGAGAGTACAACTCCATGTGCACAACTGGACCTGTAAATGGACATGTTCCAGTCCCCACGTGAATCATGAAGAGAGGAATCAGAAGTGGGTGCCTATACAGACAGGGCCTGGGATGGCCTCGCCCTCACCCCTGTGCCAAGGCTCTTGGCTTCAGCAGAGCACGAAGAAGATCTGGAAAGTTCTCAGGGTGAAAGGGGTGGTGAAGGTGGCTGAGAATTAAGAACTGAGAAGCCTGCCTGCAAAGGTTCATGGACATGCAAGATGGGAAAACCTGATAGGAAAGAGAATATCAGAATATTTACCCGAGGGGGGCTGTTTTGAACTGGAGAGACTGGGATCTCTTTCCCTGGCACATCAGCTTTGGTTTGTATTTTCCCCCTACTCTTATGGCGGCTTCAGCGTAGGAGATGGGTTATTCAAATAAAGAAAGTCTGCTTCTGGATTTGAGCACCTGAGCTGGAGAATGTGAAGCGTGGCCCCTCTACAGCTGTGGCAGAGAAGCAGGAGGGGAGGAGCCTTTCTTGCCTCCACACGTTGGAAGGGGAGGTGCTCTTCCCCTCCTGTTGGGAGAGAGTGGGGGGCAGTCCCAAGGACACCAGACACTTTTAGCATGTGGCTTCCTGTCCAGAAGGAGCCATCGCTATGATAACAAGGCAGCCGGAAATATGAAGGTTGATCTTTAGAAAGATGCCTTGAATCTCTCCCTCCTCCTGCTACTACAGCAGGTTGCAGAAAGGAGACCTGGGAGAGGCACCAGGAACCCAGCGCACGAGCCGGGCGGTGTCTTTCCCAGCTGTTGAGAGACAGGCCGAGGGGCTCAACTGGGAGAGTGTGCTCCTGCTCCTGTTTTTGTCGGCTTACTTACCTGTTATACTAGAACCTTCCAGGAGCTGTTTGAACTGAGATTTTTGGAAAATATGAACTGGTCTTGCCAAGTCAATGAGAAGAAAGGCTGGAGGGTTGCCAGTGGGAACCGATTTTGTGCCTCTGCAGTGCTCGAAATCAGCCCGGAGAGCTGACCATCCAACCGCGGTTCAGCTCTGCTCCTTCTGTTGGCATGTTAATCTACATCAACCTCCGTCCCCTTAGCCCTGTCACACTGGCCCACGGCTTTTCAGACCAGACCTATTAGTTCTTAGGGAATTCTCCGACAGGGTTGTTAGTTCTAACACTGTCTCTTGCTACACAGTTACTAAAACTGCATTTTCCTTAAAACCGAGAACTTTCTTCAACCACATCTCTACCACCCCAGCTATTCTGTTCTTACTGGCTACTGCACAGATCCATGCCTGGGCTTGAAGCACAACTCCTCCCACCAATTCTAGAAATTACTTTTCATATGGCCATCACTATTGTTCACCTACAGTGTGCTAGGCACAGTAGGAGATGTTTTAAATGTATCTTATTTAATCCTTACAACAGTTGTGTGAATCAAGTATCACCAGCCCCATTTGATAGAAGAAGCGGAGGTGGAGAAAGGTGAAATTACCTTTCCAAGGTTTCCAAGTGAGCGATTTGTAAATCCAGAAGTAAAAAACCCAGGGCTGTTTTTCATCAAAGCGTGAGCTCCTTCCACTGCCTCCCTCTTGTGTCTGCTCTAACCACAGAGCTGCCCGCGGCCACACACCACTGCCTTCCCTCCACCCTGCTGCTCTGGCAGCTGCTCCAGGACGAGAGCTTGTATGTAACTCTGCCTTGTCACTGTCACTTTCGTGGAAAGAGAACGATATCTGCATTCAGTACTAACACCCCCAGAGACCCTCCATGTCTTGTGTCACGTCATCAACTGCACCAACAATAGTGAAAATGTGTCTGTATCTGTGTCTGTTCCATGCAGACTCCACTGGGTTTTCTAGGAAAAAAGATGAACTAGAGAGAATTGAAATGTTTAAATGCCAGTTTATATTATGCTCCATTGCTGTCTCAGGAGACGTGACCCAAAATCAACTCTCGGGCAAAAATGACTTAACCGGAATGTAAATGCAAAACCAGCCAATGCTCTCCAGAATTTTGTCAGCGTTTTTTCAACATCCTAACTGTTGGACACTTTACAGTTAGTCCACAAGGATGGTGCAAGCCATTTCCACTGTGCTTCCACCATTTATATTAATAGAGTTTGTACCTTCTCTCCTTTAGAACATGCCCTGCTTTGGGCCCTATGTACTTTCCCTTCCCCTGCCTGCCATTGGTGCTTCCTCTGTCTCCTTCAGGTAATTACTGCTAAGTGTTTGAGGTCCTAATTAATCATGCCTTTCTTTCCCCCAAGTTTGGAAGCAGTTGAGTATATACAGAGGAGTCAGACCAAGGTCCTAACAATAATTGTACTGCTGGCTACCCGGACGGGTGCATGGGAACTGACCCCTCTCTGAATTGCACTGAGCCACCTTCCCAACTGCAGGGGACAACTGCAGGCCACTCCCCTCAAGGGTAGAGCTTCCCCTGCCAGGCTCACTGCATGGAAGAGGCAGAAGCAAAAGGAAGAATGTATACCAGCTCCAGGTCATCTAGCCCAAGGGAGCCACAGAGAGTATAGAAAGCTGAAAAATACATCCCCAAATTCCTCCAGTCCCTGCACGCATGCCCCTTTGCCCCTGCTCCCATCAAGACATGCAGTCTATTTATCTACTCTCTATTAAATCTGGGCCACCCTTGTGACTTGCTTTGGCCAATTGAAAGTAGCAGAATGACACTGTGCAATTTCTGAGCCAAGACCTCAAGAGGCTCCTGCTTTCTCCCTCTTAGAACCCAGCTGCCAAGGGAGGAACCCAAGTCAGCTATGCCTTCATCTGTGGATGAAGACCAAAGTGCCCCAACGAAAACCCAAGCCAACTGCTGGGCCTGTGAATGACATCATCCGGGATCAGCCAACACCCAATCAACATGCCTCATGACCACAAACACATGAGTGATCCCCACTAACACCCCACAGTACAGGGCTGAACAATCTCAACTGAGTCCTGCCCCGATTGCCAGCCCACAAACTCTTGAGCAAAGAACAAACTTATGCATGAGCAGAGACTGCTCAGTCATTGCGATTCAGCCTCACCAATAAGGTAAGTCTCTCTGGAATAAGGGTAATGTGACTCTAAGAGGGTTTTCTATGAAAATTGGAGAGTAATATCCCTATCAAGAGTTAGAAATTCTGCTCCTGC